CTCCCACATGTCCTGCTGACGAAAACTTGATTGCTAAGGTTATAGTGGGAGGGTGGGACATCGTGCCTGTGGGGACAACTCAGGGATGCACGTATATAGCCCTTAGTTCTAGTCCTCCTCAGTAATTCAGTGCTGTGCCTCTTTGAATGAGGGGTGGAAGAGGAGACTTTGAAAATAAAACTAATTGGAAAGTCAAGAAAAAAAGGTATTTTTTTGGAATTTGAATTTGCATATAAGTATTGGTTCCTAATTTAGCAACCAGTGTGTTCAGATGACATTCAAGTTTAAAAAACATTTCTTCCTAGTGTAAAAACTATTAAGAGAAGAAATAGAATGTTGGTACTACCTTTTAAGCATTGATGACCTCTGGAAACGGATATGTAGATTTGTTTTCATATATGTAGTACTCTTAAGTCTTTGGGAAAGTTATGACGTATTTTTTCTGTCTTTCTATTCAAAAATGTGTCATGACTTTCTGACCACCCAATACATGGATTAAAGTAGCACCATGTGAGAAAGCGGAATGCACGGCATCTGAGTGGGAACGCTGTTGTGCTCAGTGACAAAGAGAGAATTAAAAATGGGTGATGTTGGGAAAGGCAAGAAGATTCTTGTTCAGAAGTGTGACCAGTGCCACACCCTGGAAAAGGGAGGTGAGCATGAGACTGGCCTAAATCTCCATGGTCTATTTGGGCAGGAGACAGAGCAGGTCCCTGGATTCTCTTACACAGATGCCAACAAGAACAAGGGATCACCTGGGAAGAGGCTACACTGATGGGGTGTTTGGAGAGTCCCAAGAAGTACATCCCTGGAACAAAAATGATCTTTGCTGGCATTAAAAGTCAGAAAGAACAGAGCTGATAGCTTATCTCAAAAAAAGCTACTAATGAACAGAAGGAGGCCACTGCCTTATTTGTGACAAAACAGAAATATCTCACCTTTTTTATGTGTACCATAGTTTAATTGATCTCCTACACCAGAACTCAGATCATGAATGGCCAACGGGATATTTCTATTAGTTCTGATTTAAGTAAGACTGGTTTGTGGTTAAATGAATATTGTTAGGTTTTTAAAATTTTGATAGTACTTTCAGTTCAGTAAATGCTATCACTATTTGCCCTTTCCAAAGATATAATTGGTAATTCATTAGTGATACTCAATTTTCTATAAAGATGGTGAATGCCATCTCAAAACCCACTCGGGGGAACCAGTAGTTAGCGTAATAGCTATGTTGCTGGACTTCCACGTAGTCGACTGCGGTTCGTGTCCCGGTCCCGGTGGCTTAAAACTCACGCTGGGGGCGTGTGCGTGTGTGCCCAAGATCCCGAGAGGAGAATAGAGGAGAAGGGACTGCGGCGTGACCATCCCCCCTGGGGGGTGATTTCTCGCTTTCTGTCTCTATATCTGTCTCTGTCTGGCAAACGCACGCACCCTGTAGCGAAAATCTCTCAAAAAAAAAAAAATCCACTGGGGATTTTTTTTTTTTTATTATTTAGGCTTATATGTAACTGCTTAAATGAATATATAAATGCTGGAGAAATCCCTTCATTCCTCAAAACCAGGCAGACTCACCTGCATTTTATTTTGTGTTCATTAACCTGTTAAAGGCAAGGACTGAAGATGAGGTAGTGATGTTTACTTTATATATTTGGTCATAACTGTGCTAGTCTAATTAGAATTCCCTGTATCCAAAACACTGCCTTTTACTTATTGAAAGACATTTTAGTGAAGTTTGTGTATATTATATATTAAATAAAGAATTTGTAACACTTTACATATTTTACAAATGACTTGTAAGGCCAGATACTTTTTGATAAGATTTAGTAGCAAGTTAAATTTTACCTTTGAATTCTATTTTCTAAGTCAGACTAAGTTATATTTCAGGCTTGTCTTTAGACAACTGTTCAAAACCACATTGACACTGAAGAACCACTGTATATATGATTGGTAATGGTGCTCTTTGCTAATTTATTAGATGGATGGAAGTAAAGGAGATATGCCATCAGCATAAATTTGTAAATTATGTTATCATAAGACTTAAATTAAAAGCCAAATTACAGATAAGGGAAAAAAAAGTAGCTATGTATGTAGCTATGTATTAGAGCACCTTGTACTCTAATAAATAATCTCGAAAATTCAAGATAATTACTTTGTTCACTACAGAGTCTAACACTGCTATTTGTGGTTGAAATTTATATATAAGAGATTTCTAGAAATGTTTTCTATGGACGATGAAACCTATTTCATATGACATGGCATTGTCCAAGAAAAAATATCTTTTAACAAAATCTTACTGAAATTCAAATTTCCTCTGATGTCCACGGCCTATCAAGATCACATACAAAACCAATGAAAATGGCATTAGCTTGACATAACTGGATTTTAGTAAATCTATATTAATTCTTCATTTCCCTTCATAAGTGCTCACAGACTAGCAGTTAGCAGTTTATTTTATAATTTTTCCAGGGATTGCTATCTACTTAACAATTTAGTCATTTTTATAGCACATAATTTTTCTATCTACAAAAACGAGGCATATAGTCCCAATTTTTACTTTCTATTCTGATGCATCATTTTTGGTCTGATTTCTTAAATCAGACCAAACTATGGAGTCTGTAAAAGCCATGGTGTGAGTGGGACCGCGTGGCTGATCTCGTCAGCCCTGCCTTTGCCATCACTGGCACCATCCATCATTTGTCTTGTCTGCCTACTGTTTTGTACACACACGCTTGGCAAGGCAGTGGGTTTATAATGGGAAGTACAATAGGCATATTATTTGATTTTATGGAACTCTTAATTTTGTGAGGAGACAGCCATAGAAGAAATAAGTTTATAAATACATATAAAGTTTTAACGGAGATGAGTAGTGCGTGACATGGCCTAAGAGGTTAACTGACAATATTGATTCTGTGAAATCCTAAGGGAAGATTTCTTTGAGAAATATGGGGTTGAGCTGAAAGCTCTAGAGGGAAGAGCATGCGAAAAGGGTTTCGAGTAGGAAAGTGCACTTACACTTGAGTAAATCTAAGATAAAGACCAAGACAAGAGTTTTGGTCTTTTCCCTTAAAATAGTGCAAAGCTAACATACAATGATGTGATGTGATCACAGTGTACTTTGAAATAATCAGTGTAGTGCAATCTGGAGAAAAATTGTAGTAGGCAAAGGCAGTGGAGGGTCTCCTTTGATTTTTAAGAGCTCCGATGGTGAAAAATAGGTAGTTTAGAAGGTGGTGTTAGTGATAGAGATAAAGGGAAGTGGCTGAAATCTACATCTATTTGGTGGGAAGAACTGAAAAGGTATTGTTATTAATGAATTAAGTATTTATAGATGCAAACAAGGAAGGTAAGAGGATGCCCAAGCTTTTGGATGGTCAAACATGATAAAATTTGGTGCCATTTTCTGAGTTGTGAAAAGCTGAAAGAGAGGACCAGTACTGGGGAGAGAGAGCACAGGTTTGGTTTGGAACAGTGGAAGATGTCAGTTAGACTTCTATGTGACTTCTACATGGAACTCCAGAGTAGTTTATTCTAATATGTTAGGTAGTTTCTTTGAATAATCTTTTGAAATTTTGCCATTATTTTTAGAACAAGAGTTTGGGAGTTTATTGCTCTTCATTATTGTTTAACATTTTACTAAACAAGAAAATGATGTAAGCATTTAAAAATGCATTTAATACTTTATGGGATGTCTCTCATGTTTCATGACAGTTGAGAGTGAGTAGGTGTTTGTTCATTTGTTTGTTTGTTTGTTTAAATTTGCATTTTTCAAGGCAGGATAATGTAATTTATTTTTTTTACCTTTTCCCAAACAGGGTGTAGGGTGTAGCTATGAATGACTCCCATTTGAATCAGCAGTACACAAATGATGCAGATAGGGAAAGGTGTAAATACTGGAAAATTATAATTAGTGGAACATTAAAAGTATTATGGTGTTCTTGCAGAGTATAAAAGTATATTTTAATTGCCAAAGGGCACATGACCGAACAGAGAGAGAGAGAGAAAGAGAGAGAGAGAGGAGGAGGAGAGAAAGAAACAGTACTTCCCAATGGGGCTTGGTCACAACAGTCCCTCTGCTTTTTTCTTCATCCTGCTGGGATTTGGGGCATGCACACATATATACCCAATATGTTTTTCAAGCTATGAGTCTGGAATTCAAACTATAATCAGCCACATGGGCTCTAGCTCTCTTAACCATTAGGTTATAGGGCCAATCTGTTACATCAGAAAAGATAATTTTGAGAGATTTAAGTACAATCACGTCTTCTCTCACTTAATGTTCCACCATCCTAGTTTTTTTTTTTTTTAAGTATGTTAAATAATTTGTACTGTTACTGACTACTCTATTTATACTATGGAATTGTGAAAATATTTACACCTTTCAAAATAACTAAATCTTAGAGTTTACAGAAAACCTTGAATTGACTTTGCAGTACAGACTAGTAAAAAAGGTTTGAATTTTTTTTGCCCTGACATATTAATCTTTTTTTTTTTTTTGAGAGGTTTTTGCTATAGGGCGTGTGCACTCACCAGAAAGACAGAGAGAGATATAGAGTTAGAAAGCGAGAAATCACCCCGCAGGGGGAATGGCCACGCCGCAATCCCTTCTCTCTAGTCTCCTCTTGGGATCTTGGGCACGCACGCATACACACCCAGCGTGAGTTTAAGCCACTGGGTCTGGGACTTGAACTGCATTCGACTACATGGGAGTTCAGTGATATAGCCATTATGCTAACTGCTGGTCCCCTGACATATTAATCTTAAAATAATGGCCCATCATATTTTAATTCATTAACAGTGGCTAAAAGCAAAATTAAAATGGATTCTTTGCTAAAATAGAGATGAATATTGGCTAAAAGAAAACAGAAACATTTTTCTAATTTTAATTTTGAAATTTAATGTCTTTATGCTAACATTATTTATTATTTCAAATGTAATTAAATTTTAAAAGTGAATGGATTTTTCACATTCTAAAAACTAACATCTCATCATTCTTTTCATAGGTCTCATATCTTTTGGGTGAACAGAAGTCTACCATTATGGGGCTTACAGGTTATGTATAATTTTGTATTATTTCTATATTTTTTGCTTTATTCGTATTTCACAGTCAAATACTATTGGAAAGAAAACTGTAGATATTCAGAATGACTTTGTATTCCTACTTATCTCCATGTATATCCTAGACTAATGTTTTTATTTCTTTTTTCCCCCGTCTGCCTGAGTCCTATAATCCCGTTTTTGATAATTTCCTGGTGATCGGGATTAGATTTCAGATAGCGTTTGAGCTTGTGGATAAAACCAAAGTAAACCAGTATGTTAAGGCTCCACAAGCTTCCTCAAACTACATTAGGTATTCCTATTTTATATTTTCTTTAGTTTTAATTGAAGCCGTAACTGTGTTTGCTTTTGACCTGATGCCCTCAGTGACTGGAGCAAGGTAGAGTTCCAATAGACGATTGTCAAGTGAATGAATGCCTCACACCAGTCACCGACGGTAAGAGCTTAGTTCTCAAGCAGACGATTTTGTAAATAAACCAGAAAGTATGCCTTAGCATAAAAGGAGTTCTTAAGAAAGAGTAAAAAAAAAAAATATGAGCAAGGACAGCTTATCTGAATTACATTACTGAAGTGGTTCCTGTAGTTACATATACATACACCCCTTTTTGCTCCTTTTCTTGTTGGGGTTTGTGCCCAGCAGATTTTTACCACATCTTATTTCCTATACTTATGTTTACCTCCTGTAGATTCTTTATATTTTCTGTTATTTTTTAAGAAAATAAATTAATTGGGAAAATAGAATAATTAACCTAAAAAAGTATTGGAGGTTGCAATACGTTTGGGTCTGGAGGAAATAAAAAGACTTTGAGACTCATTACTTATGAGCACAGTTTCAAATCTCTTCATTTAAAATGTTTGATTTCCTTTTAATTTTTTTAAGAATTATTTTATTTAACTTTATTTATTTAATTTGACCATATAGAGGCAGAGCGAGAACAAGATTGTGTGTGTGTGTGTTTGTGAGAGAGAGAGAGAGAAAGGGAGAGGGAGAGAGAAAGCAAAATAGCAAACTACCAGGTCCGGGACTTGAACCATGGCTGGCCATGTTGGAACCCACCACCCTACATGCTGGTCCCTGGTTTCCTTTTAAAGTCATGATGAGTGTGAAGTTTGTACATTTTATATGAGACAATAATTTTTAAGTATGCATGCATTGTGATCATCACTATGAAGTTTTGCCTGTGTCCAGATATGTCCTGTTCCATTGGTCAAGTTGCTTTTTATGATATGGACTTGTTGCAATGACACTTTGATACATAAATAACCTTTTCAAATATTTAAGTGTGCATTTAAAAACTAGTTTTTAAATCTCTGAGCTAGATTTACATAGTACTCTTCAATGAAATACACATTTAAAATAACTTGATGTTTTTATGAATAAGTATATATTGTTTTGAAATATATTTTGATGTATTCCTTTTTATAGTAGCATTTAAAATAATAAAGATACATATTTCCAAATAACATTTTGAATAACTTATACTAAAAATGTAACTTGAGAAAAAAGCATGGGTGCTTATAATTTAAAGGACTCGTTGCTTTTTCTGTGGCTATGATAGTATAGCGTATTGGTAGTTGAACTGTAGAAATTACACATACATGAAATAGAGAACACAGAGATGGTTAGAAGCTTGTTTAGGAGGACATTTTAATTAACTATTTTAAAGAAAGGTATTTTTCTACATTTAATAACAATGCATTTCAAAAAATGAAAAAGTCCCTTGTCCTAACGTTGTCTAACAAGGATGCATTTCCAGCTGTATTAAAGGAATTAATTATGGAGTTAATTAAAATAAAATTCAAAGAATGGTCAAGTATTGACATGGTCTACTTTGTTTAGTGTTTAAGGATGTTGCCATTTCATTTTGTTTCTGGTGAATAACAGAATTGAGTGTCTTTGAAATTAATGTCTGTGTTCTTTTATTTTCTGCATTGTCTAAAGGGAGATACTGATTTAGATAGAGATGATTTGTGGCAGGGCAGTTACATATGATTATGTGATAGGAACACACACACACACACACACACACACACACAGAAGCTCTCTTTATTGATCATGTGAACTACAGGCAGTCTGATTGCTCTAATCCCACCTTAACATTGAAATAAAAAATATCAGAAATTGTAAAAACTAAGCTGTAGTATGGGGAGAGGAGAGTACAAACTATGACTGCAGCCTAACTTACAGTAATGGAAGTGCCACTAATACTTCCTATATCATGTATATATCTATCATATAAATATATATAAACACACGTATGCACATATGCACACATATGAAGTTTATAGCATAATCATTAATACATATTTAAATTTTATTGCTTTTTCTAATAGATTGTAATTTGCGTTTTAGGTTTCAGTGGCATTGATAAGTCTATTTGAAACAATACTACTTGGTTATCTCAGTTACAAGGTAAGTATTTCCTTAGCAGATTTCTGCTGATAGAACATGTTGTTTGTGTGTGCCCACTGTTCCTCTTCTCATTCATACTTGAGGATAAGGTAGGCTCCTCTGAAACTACTTTAATTATTTTGAGCCTCCTCAGTGCATCATGAAAAATTGTTGTAATATAGTAATGTTTTCCTTAGTGACTTACAAATACTTCATTGGTTCCTGTGGTGGTACTTACACGTTATATGCATGAATATAGTGAGGTGAACAAATGGAATGACCTGGTTTATTATCATTCTTAACCTCTTTTTCTTTCCTGTACAAAAATTATTGACAGAGCAAAAACATGTCTGTTAGAATCTGTCTTAATTTAATGATTATCTTAATTTGGGTGAAGCTGTGGTAAGCTAACACAACATAAGAAATACTCATTGAATGAAGATCTCCACATTTTGCAGGCTTTTTCTCAATGAGCTGATGATCTAGAAGGGGAAGGAGTTGTTATACGGGGAATACAAATACAAGGAAGGATGTAACAGGCTATTTCAGTGAGGAGCAGATGAAGTAGGACAGAGGTTCAGAGAGTTGCTCGTATTGTGGGTTTCAGAGGAAAAAGAATAGAGTCAGAGAGGACAGAGAGAGATGACGGAGTCAGAAAGTTATTGGAATGGTCGAGTGTCATAATGGTCACTAATTTCTGTTAACAGTTCATTCATCTGATATCTCAACAGTATATGCCAAGTTATTTTTTGTTTAAGCTCTTATCAATTTCCTTCTCACTTTTCAAACATGGAGTTTTTAAGATGGTATTCTTCACAATATTTTTAAATCCTAAATTTAGAGCAGGAAGTTTTTACAAACTCTTACCTTTTCCTCTGTTTTTATGTTTTTCTTCTTAATTCTCATTAACATCTAAAGAAAATAATACCAATTTCTAAAGTAAGACTGATTAATAACATAATGTAGAATGAAAAGAATGGGAGATTTCAAAAATATAACTGGGTTGATTAAGTATTTACCAAAAGAAATAGAACGTTAGCTGTATCTAAGGAAGACATGTATTATATGGAAGCATGTAAACTGTGGCAAGTGTAAGAAGCTTGAGAAAAAAAATCAGTGGGTTTAGAATTTAGGAGATTATTTACTTTTCACCTACCAGAGATGAGTTTCAGTGGATTACAACTGAGAGTAAAAGTTGCTAGGGGGGAAGCCTAGACAGGTGCAGGTAGGGAAGTGCTGGCATGTAATGCTGGAGCCACAGGAAGGACTGCAATTAGGAACCACGGTCAACCTGTGGTCTTGATCCTGGCTGGCTGGAAGGATTGGGTGGGTGGGATTGCACTGTGGCAAGACTGTTGAGGGTTCCTGTTTCTTTCTACCGCTCTCTGTCTCTCATGAAAGAAAGAAAGAGGTTTTAAAAAAGTATTCAAGGAAGAATACTTGCTGGGGTAGGAGCTCCTTAGAAAAAGCAGATGAAAAAATAACAACTTTCTGATGCTGACTAACATCTGCATTGTTTAAAAAAGGAAAGACAATAAAAGGGAAGAGAGAAATATGTTGTATGAAACAAATTTTATAAAAAGAATAAGCTGGGATAAGAATCTGAGGCTAAATGATTAGCGTTGGAAAGTCTCCATTTTCTTCCGAGAGTACAGAAGATGGAAAGTGGTGTGTGAAAGATTTCGAAGGTTTAGGAGGAAATGAAAGAGCTTACACATGGTCACACCTCCTACATTACCTAGAAAATACTAGGTCAATACAGGCATTATAGGCTAAGATACTGAAAGTCACATATTCATTTTTTAGAATATCTCCTTGTCCAAATAAATACTCTATAAAATGTTGTCATTGACAAATCCAGATTTTGGATACCTCGAAATACAAAAATGAAACAAAAGCATATAAATGACTACCCTGTATTTTATCTTCTAAGTTCCTTAGTAAGAAACTATGCGATGCATGTTGCAAGTAATATATAAAAAGTGATGTATTAAAATATTTAGGCATGTTCCTTTTTTGGGGGCGTAAATCAGTTCTCATCTTTGTCCTAGTACAAGAGTATAAACAGATATATGACATGGCCACAGTATCTGTCTGAATTTGTGCATGTATTTGTTGCAGCTTCTAGCCGGAGAGGAATATGTAATTAACTTTGTTGCTTTGCAAATAAGACCTTTAGCCCTAATTTTAAAAGTCATTGAAAACACACACACAGATTCAGATAATTTTCCATTGCAATCATATGATGATGCCATTTATAATTAATTACTTCCGACCATTTATAAAACGGGAGCAGAGCATTGTAAGACCTAGCATGCAGAGCTGTAACAGATGAGATGTCATATTTTCATCCCAGCTGCCCTAAACTTTCATGCTTTACATGGAGGAGAGGTAGGTTTCTAGCAGGGGAAACAGAAGGACAGAAAGAAGTTATGTGACAGCAGGACATTTTGCAGTTAATTATCTTCTTTCTTCTCTCATATATTTTCTCAAATTCATGAACTCTTTTGACCTTCAGTGGAGTGTTGAATGATTTTTTTTTTGGATTGATTAAATTCAATATTAGGAAACTGTTTAGGACCTATAAACAAGGCAGAATTAGATAGCAGAGTCCAAAATGTCCTCCTTTTAAATTAGATTTTTAAGAAAAATAATAGGCAGACATGCAGAAATGGATATGGCATTGCTTTAACAATTATATCCATCCCTACTATTGTTCTGTAATCCTTAGACTTTTGATATGCCAATATTCATTGCAAATCAACACGTATTTTCCTCATTATGTGTTTACATGTGTATCTATACACAGATAGTATATATATATATGTATATATATATATATATATGTATAGATATCCAATATGGAAAATAAATACACTATCTTGCAAGCACATTGTACTTCTTGAAATTATACAGTCTAAAATAAGCATAATTTTTTTTGGGGGGGAGGAACAGGTTTTTGCTATAGGACATGTGCGTTCGCCAGAAAGATAGAGACAGAAAGCAAGAAGTCACCCCTCAGGAGGGATGACCATGCCACAATCCATTCTCCTCCTGGGATCTTGGGCATGTATGCACACATGTGTGGCATGAATTTAAGCCACCATGTCTGGGACTCGAACTGCAGTTGACTACGTGGAAGTCCAGCTACATAGCCATTATGCCAGCTGCTGGTCCCAGCATGACTTAATCTTTAGTAATTAAACCAGTTTAAACTCTCAGGGAGACTGTAGGGTTTGAACAACAAAGACGACTTTAAGGAGAATCAGAAAAAGCTGATAAAGTATATGATGAGGCTATTAGCAGGTAATGAATTAAAATCCATGACATCAACTGACTTTGTTTTCTGTCATACAAAAGTGCAGGTCCGTGCCTTAATCATCATTCCATTCATGTCTGTAGCTAGTTGGCAACACTACCAAAGTAATTGCTCGACACCAAAGTTCTTATTCTTCTGTCACCATAAATACCCTCTAATTCTTGATCCACTGCTTTCAAAATAGAACTTTATTTATGTACACATTCATTAAATCAAAAGGAAACAAACACACACCAAAGCATGGTTTCTAAATCTCTGCAAACACAAATTCATCACACCTAGGAGCCTTTTGTTAAATCTGCAATTCTTTGTCCTGTAATTACTTTATAAAAAGCTCTCATTTTGGAAAATGTAGCAGCTGAATGGCTTATTTCTGGGAAAGAACAAAGGATTTATTCTAGGGTTCCTGGATACTCCTCGCTACTGTTGAGTCTGCTGACCACGCCTTGGAAATAGTGCTGAGTTTATGTTTAGAATTGCAAAATAAGACTTCGAAAATGTTACTACACTATTTTAAACCCATTCAAAAAAGACAAATTATCGGGCCTTTTCATCAACTATTTTAAATGAAGATATTTTTCACATTTAATAGCAAAGTATTCGTAAAAAGTCCCTTGGCCCAGTGCGGTCTAACAACAGCTAAATTTCCATAACTCATGAAATTTTTAAAATACTTCAAGAGTTACCTAGAATAGCTTCAAATTTCCGATCTCCTTGATGATAAAAATGAAAGCCTAATATTTTTCTGCATTTTGATTGATTGCATAATGCTACATCTATGCTAAATGTAAAGTGTTTGGATTAAGGTTTATTTACATTTATTGAACTCTGTCACAAGAGGAACAGACAGAACATTACACACTTAGAACAGATACAGCTACTATTTAGAGACTATTTTTTACAAGAAACTAATATTTTTTTAAAGAAATTGATACTTTTATCTCCTTCATGAAAACAAGATGAAATAAAAGAACTATTTAATATAATTTTGAAAGACATTGTGCTTGCCTTTTGGGTTTCACTTCATAGTTCTCTGCGTAGTGATGTTGGATACTGGCCTGCTCTCCTTGTTGTCTTCATTGCTTTTTTCCTGTGAATTTTTATGTTATAGGCATATGTATACTCCCGAATGATGTTAATTTGTGAGTACTTCCTAATGGTCAATGAAACGTATGCATCCTTTCTTTTTGTAGATGTTTTTGCCTTAGGGCGTGTGCACTTGCTGGGGGAGACATACACATAGAGGCAGTGAGAAATCATCCCTCAGCCCATGCCGCCATCTTTTCCCCTCCATTCTCATCCTGGGATCTTGGGCATGTATGCACACGTGCCTAGTGTGATTTTTAAGCCACCAGGCCTGAGACTTGATCTATGATCAGCCATGGGAGAGTTTGGTGACATAACTGCTTGGCCATCTGCTGGCCCCTCTATGGATCCTTTCTACTATTATTTTCATTAGCTATTTTTAGGAGAAATATTTTACAAGCAATGTTCCTATTTCAGATGACATCCTGAGGTCTTGGAACTAATCATAATAAATATTACTGAAAAGATATGCATTTGTTTTCAGTAATAAGAGTGTTGTTCTTACTGAATAATTTTAGATCATGAAAATTAGTCCTCAGTAGGAAGTTCATTCACTTGCCACAGCACACAAACACCTGTGCACATGCACATACATGCTACATATCAGTAATAGTATGGTTGACACATGTAGCAAGTTTTTATTTAGAAGTTTCATACCGTAGACCACTGTGCTTGGAACAGAACATATGACCCCAACCTACACAGGTGCTAACTCTGCCCTCATGGCATTCCACATGTAACGTTATATGCACTAAAAAAGTGATGTGGAGGAAACTGATGGGTAATCTAAAGGCCTAATGTGGGTCAGGTCTTGCCTAGATTGTATCTGATGAGAGGATGAGGGAGGTCAAAAAACTTGTAAGATCCTAAGTTGAGAGCTGAAAGGAGTGCATGAATTAACATCATTTCCAAACTGAAGTTGGAAAAAAGGGTAAAGATTTTCCAAGCCTCTTTTTTTCCCCATGGTTTTATTTCATGTGCAAATAATGGACAGGTGTTCTGCCCATGAATTCTATTTTCCCAAAACAATTTGGAGGGGATTTTGTTCGTTTGCTTTTGTTTTTGAAAAACAAAAACCACATAACAAATTTTAAAAGACACTGAGATTCCTCTGTTTCTAAATCATGGCTAGGCTAGAAACATAAAGCTAATATTTTCTAAGCCTCTTGAAGAGTGATATTCAAAAGCATATATTAAGGTATATCCTAAGTAGTATATGGAAAGAATGGTGTTTAAAGTAAGTGGGGGGAGATACTGGGAGTCAGATGAGCTAGTGCCTTGTGGGTTGTTACAGAGTTTTCCTCTGTGTTGCGTAAGTGACTAGTTCAAGCATTTTAGAGAGGGTAGGTAGGGGTGGGGTGAGGTGCAGAGGAGTAGTACCAGTGTGGTGGGTGAATTGGGGCAAAAATGAAGGGATAAAAGCTAGTTAGCATTTCCTAACCTGATCATTAGTTAAGAGTGGGAATCAAGCTGGAACGAAGACTAGAAAATCTCAAGGTCTATTTATAAATTAGTAGCACTTGTTGATAAATGACACTTGGGCAGTGTGTGAAAAAGTTTCTCCAGACACTTTTGAAGCATTAGCATGAGGTTGTTGACCAGACGGTTGATCCAAATCAGAATCTGAGAGACAAAGTATTGATCTGGGCTAGAGATTTGATATTAAAGGCCAGCAGTGTAATATTGCCTTATGCTGAAGTTAAAGTGTAGATGGAATTACTCAAGGTGGGTATAAGAACAAGAACCTTTGCAATCCTTTCTGGCCGGTGAAGGATCTCCTTGGTTGGAGATTCCTGGAGTCTGGACTCTAGGGCTCTGACCTTGGACTTCTAGTTCCATGTCTCGTCTCCAAGCAATAGTCATTTTGAGTGTAAGACATTTGAAAATGGTCATAGTTCTATTTTTTTTAGGGTTTATATTTGGTTCCTAGAAAACAGGCATCTCTGTCACAGTTGGAGTATTGAGAACTGTAGCTTGCTTTTTTTTTTTTTTTTGAGAAAGATTTTTGCTGTAAGTTGTATAAGTTGCTCTTGCCAGAGAGACAAAGAGATAGAAAGCAAGAAATCACCCCCTAGGGGAATGGCCACACCACAATCCTCTCTCCTTCAGTCTACTCTCAAGATTTTTGTCAGGCATGCACATAAAACTGTCATGAATTTCATGCTGCCAGGTCTGGGACTTGAACTATGGTTGAACTTGTGAGGGTCCAGTGCCTTAACCACCACTCTACCTGATGATCCCGTTGTTTGCTTTCGCCCTAGCTCTTTTTCTTTGCTTTCCTCAATTTTAAATGCTTTAAGCATTAGTAAGACATAGTCTTTATGTCTGAGTCAAGCTCTTTAAGAGGTTTCCTGAAGCCTCTTCACTTAGCTCAAGATATAAGAGAAGCACTCCATCACCTGTGTCTCTATTCGGTGGGGTTTTGACCACTGCACTTTCTTCCACTTGCTTTCTGTTCTACCACTGTGTTCATAGTCTGTAGAAGGGTGGGGAACTAAGGCTTACAAACCTTGTTACTTAATATCTTAGCACAAGGACAATGGCAAATCTAGAACCTTGCTTTGGAATGTGCAAAAATTTGCACCACTGTACTGCTTTAAATCTTTGGGGCCACAAGGAAAATTAAAAGATTTCCAAGGACCAGCAGGTGGCATGGTGATTAAAGCACTGGATTCCCACATGGTTTGAGTCCTGGATTCAGCTGCCTGAAAATCACAATGGATGTGTGTGTGTGTGTGTGTGTGTGTGTGTGTGCCCAGAATCCCAAGAGGAGAATGGAGAAGGGATTAATGTATGGTCTCCACTTGGGGGGAGGGTGATTTCTCATTTTTGCTCTTTCTGTCTTTTTCTGTCTCTCTGGTGAACACAGAAAGCCTATGCCCAAACTTAAATAAATAAATAAATAATAAAAGAAAAAGACTTCCAGTTTTTTAGGCCATAAAAAAAATTGGACAATCCAAGGAGCCAGATTTCTAACCACTTTTCTTTTTTTTAGAGAAATTTTGTTACTCTAAGGCACATGCATTCGTTGGAGAGGGAAACAGAGAGACAGAAAGCAAGAAATTACTCCCAGAGGGCATTGCCTGCTGCCATCCCTTCTCCTTAAGATTTTGGGCAAGCAAGCATGCACATGTGCCCGGCATGAGTTTTAAGCCACTGGGTCTGGGACTTGAACCAAGGTTGACTAAGTGGGAGTCCAGCAACATAACCATTATGCCATCTGCTGGTCCCTCTAATCACTTTTCTAATAATACATGTTTCTCTTCCTAGAAGTAGGAACTGCCTTAGGAAATTTCGAGTTCTTCATCATTGGACACCATTCAATAAAGTTTTAGTGATGACCTGTTAATACCACCAGGGAGGCTTAAGTGACATGTAACCTTGGCAGTTGCATGGGGCTACGCAACAAGAAGGGCTTCAATTAATGTTCTGATGTTACCTCTTTAAAACTGTAAAAAAAATTGTTACTAGAAGTGCTATGTTTTCCTTTTGCACTGGCCTTACAAATTATTTATTTAGTTATGATTAATATTATTCTAATTCATGGATTAGGAGATGAAAAAGCCCTTCTTTTAAGTTCTATTAAAGGAAAAAACAGTATTAAGACCAATGATTGTTAATAAGCATGTGTGCTTTACAGACTATTTGATATACTTTACAGTTGGTGAATATTATTATTATAGTAAAACATTAAGATTGAGTGACTTTTTAATAGATTCTGTAGGTTTTATTAGTGTATTTTATTTTTTACAATAAAATGATTTTTCTTCCATGACATATTATATGATTAAAATGTTGCTTGCAATATTCATGGGTTACTATGAACATTTACTTCTTAAACTTACTACAGATATGACAGCACAATTACTCTTAGAAAAATGATTTCTGAGAGTCATCCTTGCATCAATATCTTGTTAATGTAAGCATTCTTATTGCTAGAGAAATTTCTAGTACTGTCTTTTACTCCCTTTTAATAGAATTCAGTATAATTGACTTTCATTTTCTGTTCATTTTTTTTTTTTCTTGGAAGGGCAACATCTGGGAACAAATTTTACGAATACCTTTCATCCTGGAAATAATTAATGCAGTTCCCTTCATTATCTCGGTAAGTCCTAAAAGAATATTTAAAAAACTCATTTTGTTATTAGACTTAGTCTTTAAATCTAAGTGCTTCTAAATAATGAAATAGCAAAGGTAAATGGATTCAGACTTTGGTTAGACTCATGGTACTGAAAGAAAAATACTGTCCATTGGTAAACTGGATTGTGTAAGTCAGTGAAAACTAATGAGATTTAGCACAATAACAAAATAAAATGTTTCTTAGAAATATATATGTCTGGAGGTGCCATTTGAGCAAATGTTTGCACTCTTTGAAAAGACAAGAAATTATTCAATTTCATATTTATGTTTATATATATATGTATGTGTGTGTATATATATATGTATGTATGTGTATATATATATATATATTTAAAAACAGAAACCGACTAGAACCAAGTGTTTATAAAGTTTCTCACACTAAGAACGTATTTTATCTCGTTTACTCAGGGGATTTAGTAAGTCTAATTCTCTCTTTAGTCAGGTTACCAGGAGCCAGTAAACCGGAAATTTGCTTCTTTATCGAAATACTATATAGTACCAATTCTGCAATGATGATTTATCTGTTCAAGGGAAGTCCCATGACTATGAAACCCAGCACTTTTCCGTCCACAAAATTAGGTTCTAACCTCAATTTGACAAGACTATTACTGTCATTATCATCGGGATTGTACTGTGTAGCACTTAATTGAAATTTTTTTGGGGAAATTTTGAAACAAAGGGGATGTTATCTTAAGCTGTTGCTCACTTCTGACAATTACTTTAATTTGAGTTAGCTGACTAATTATAATTCCAGTTGAACATAGTTCCCCAGTGTCATTTAAAATAGTTCAAGCCAGGTGGAGTAAGTGATTCTGTTATAAAAAAAAAAGGTTGTCTCCTTGGTTCTACTTTCCACCTCGAGGTTCGGGTGAGAGAGAGCCTTTGGCTATTATAAACCATCTTGCTAGAAAATGTAATGATATGTAATAACAGAGTTAGAATAGTAATATCAGAAATGTACTGAGAGCTTATTGTTTCTTTTTTAAAAATAATTATTTATCTTATTATTTTATTCATTCATTGATTTTTTAATTTGACCAGAGAGAGACAGAAGGTGAGAGTGAGAGAGAGAGGAAGTGAGAAAGCAAGCCACCAGGTCCAACACTCGAACCCTAGTCAGCCATGTGGGAGTGTCCAGCACCTTAACCACCACGCCACCCGCTGGTCCCAAGAGCTTATTGTTTCTTTTCTTGTTTGTGCAGTGATTTCCCTAAGACTCAGACAGTGCATGAAATGATCATTATAGCTGTTCTTCGTATAACATTAATAATGAGTTTAAAGTATTTGTCATGCTTTCAATTATTACATTGCCTTTACTAACTTTTTTCTTTTTTGTAGTTATTTTCAATCTGCTGGATATGATGTTTTGCTTTGAGATAAAAGTGTAGTTTTGGTTTGTTTTCCAGATATTCTGGCCTTCCTTACGGAATCTATTTGTCCCAGTGTTTCTAAACTGTTGGCTTGCCAAACATGCCCTGGAAAATATGATTGTAAGTATAAAAGTGAAGTGCAAATAAAAAAAATGTTAAACAACTCACGATTTTTTACTTAATTTTGACATTCAGATTAAACGGAGAGAAAAGATAATTTGGCGTCTGGTCTTGTACTTTCTTATTCTGTATTATACCATAAAACATAAACTCATACTATTGAAATTTATTTAATGGGGTTAGTAGATGGTATAGCAGTTACATTGCTGAACATACGACTGACCATGGTTCGAATCCTAGACTCAGTGGCTTGAAAATCATGCCAGGCACTTGTGCGTGTATGCACAAGATTCTGGGAGGAGAATAGAGGGATTGTAATATGGCCACCCCCCTTGAGGGGTGATTTTTCACTTTCTCTGTCACTCTCTCTCTCTCCAGCATGCCCTGAAACAAAAACCTCTTAAAAAATAATTAAGTTATGATTAAATTTTCATGTTTCATTTTAAACATTAACTTAGTATCTTGATAAATAAAAAATTTAAATGTTTATTTTTATGAGGAATATTTCTGTAAAATACTGTTAATAAGTAATGTGCTATGTACTACAAATTTGTAACTTACTAGACCTTAAGTAACCTGATTGTAGCCTAATAGGAATGAAGATTTGTGATATATCCATACTGTCAAGTGACTACCCACTGTATGGATAAGGCCCTATAACTAGTACAAAAATGATTCCTACTTTTTCATTCAGCAAACCAAAACCTAACTGCTGTTTGAACTGGTCTGACTAGTGAGTCAATTTTACAAATAGAAATACTCTTTCCTTTAAGACAATCTGTTGATGTCTAATAGGGCCCCTGACTTTAAGAATTCAGAGAGGTTATTTTGTTAAACTGCTCTTAATCGTAGGTAGTCTCATATTCCATGAAAATCTGTGGAGTTTTGCAAGGCCTTATATGGAAGTTGGAAACTCATTTTGAGCAAATCATTTAGATTTGATTGAGTTGGGTTGTGAGTATGGTATTAGAGGGAGAAAGGGAAACAGGAGATAGATTAAGAGATGCAGAACTCAGTGTGGTATCTAGTTACATTTTGCCCAAGGCTGACCTTGTTTGAAAGAAATGGTTTATAATTATGAGCAAAATGGGTTTACTACAGGCTGTAACACTTAGAAGCCAGCTGTAAGACAAATGCTGTTTAGTCAGTAGGAATCCACTGTATGCTAAATATCCAGTGGGAAAATCATTTGACTTCTCTGCTAATATCTATTGGGGCAAAAAGAAAATAGAAGCACTAGCATTACAAGTGAGCGGTGAAAATTAGATGATACTATATAAACGTATGTATGGTATATACATGTGTGTATACCAAAATGTGTGTCTTTAAAGTTGTATCTGGCATACACAAGGTAAAGACTCAATATTATTCATTTTACTTCATTGCAAGTTACACTTGTTTGAAGGCAAACTTTTATTTAAATGACCTTTTAAAAAACATTATGACAACAGTTTTGGCTGGAAGGCGTATTTAGAGAACACTTGAGTATTCACAACCAGATGAATGTTTGTGTTTAGTAACCACTGGACTCCCAGGAAAATCCATGGCCAAAGGGTGGGAGAGTGTGACATGTGGAATGGTTTGCAGAAACACTGGGCTGTCTTAATTGCCCCAAAGAATAGTTCTTTGACTAAATGTTGATTGCTTAAATTGCTAATGAAAAAAATATAACAGGAAAAAAAGAAACCACTTTGTAATTACCATGCTCTTAGTTATTGGAATAAATGTCCGAGACCAAGACAAGAGCCATTATCAATCACTGAGTGAGTGAACTGTTTTGCAATATTAATTTAGGATTTATTTTCTTTGCTTCTCTTTCTCTTACTGGATGCTTATTTTTTGGTTTCTGCTCATGAACACTGCTGCAATAAAAAAACTAAGGGGTCATGAGAGATGAAATGTGATGTGATCAGTTCGGTCATTTATTTTCATAATTCCTGTTTAAATGAGTGGTAGAGAAAGCAAAAATAATGCTCATTGACTGCTTCTACTGGTGAAATTGGCTCATGCTATTCTTATTTTAAAACTGTTAAAAGTTTATCATAAAAATTTGATATGAACAGAAAACTATAAAGGATTATACAAATCCACAAATATATAAAGTTTAGTAATAACATGTCATTCTAATATTTTTATGCAAAGACATATACTCATATGCATAAAACTTAATTGTATATGTTTTATATTTGAAATTTATAATTGCATTTTTTGCCATTTAGTATATGTAGTGGATAAGTACCTGTGTTATGATATATTCCTTTTCAAATCTTTTTTTTTTGGAGAGTTTTTTGCAATAGGGAGTATGTGCTTTCCAGAAAGACAGAGAGACAGAGAGACAGAAAGCGAGAAATCCCCCCCTCCCCCCAGGGGTAATGGCCATGCCGCAATCCCTTCTCCTCCATTCTCCTCTCGGGATCTTGAGCACACACACACACACACACACACACACACACATCGAGCGCACACACACACACACACACACACACACACACACACCTGGTATGAGTTTAAGCCAGTGGGTCTGGGACTCGAACTGCAGTCGACTACATAGGAGTCCAGCGATATAGCCATTAAGCTAACTGCTGGTCCCTTCAAATAATTTTATATGGATCTGTCTAAATCTGCTATATAGACATTTGTTAATTTATTTAGCCATTTTGTATTGTACATTTAAGTTGATTTGAAAATGATAAATGGAAACATAAACTTTTTTTCCTTCCTTGGCCCCTCTTAAATTGGAAATATTTGGGAGTCTTATTATTTTTGTGGCAGAAGGGTTATTTGAGTAAGTTCAATAATGCTTGTTGCATTGATTTAGAAATTGGAAATACTCATTATTGGACAGGGCTTTGATTGGAATGTCTTATGTAAAGATTAATCAGAAAACTATGGAACTATGGTGGATCTCAAGTAAGCCAACAGAAGCTTTTGGAAAGATGTCCTGGCACCATAAATAGTTCTGCCTGGCAGAGAGGATTAGAGAAGATATATGAAATAATTTATAACATAAAATAACCTGGACTTTTCCAGCCCAACATTGTAATCAGTAGAGATTGCAAAAGAGCAACCACACCAGAGGATTATCTTGAGAAAGACTTTGAAGGAAGAAAAAGAGACTGATCTTTGCTAGCAGATAGGGTATTACAGAATACTTGGTAGGCAGGGCTGAATTGAGAAGGTTTATGTGTGAACTTGTGTGCTGAGCATTTGCTTTTCAACAATTTGAGTAGTTGACATGTAAATATTTTCTCAAAAAAATTTAAAACCATACTATCTCTGTTGTTATAGTCACAAACAAAATATACAAAATTATAAGAAATATTTTGAACATTATCTTTAAAATTCAGTATTCTGAAATTTCTTCAGTTGTTTATTAACTGTCAAGAACAATGGAGTATGAGCAAAAATTTTTTGTTATGCAAAGTAAATGTTTGTGGAAAAATGTAAGAACAAATAAATAAATGGAATAAAAATAATCTCATTATAAACACACATAAATATTGGTGCTCATTTCTGAGGATTGTCACATGGTTGAATTTTAGAAATTATGTTATGGAGTAAATACTGAATAAATGAACAAATGAACAAATGAAATTAAAGAGATGTATTTCAGAGTTTTCAACTTTATTACCAAATTGCCTCCCAGAAATTTATAACAAATTACATGAGTGGAGGAGCCAGCAGGTGGCATGGTGGTTAAGGTGCTAGACTCCCATGTGGCTGATGACAGTTCAATTCTTGGACCTGGCAGCCTGTTTTCTCACTTCCCCTCTTTCTCTTTCTGGTCAAATTGAATAATAAAAATAAATAAAATTAAATAAATAAATCTTTTTAAAAATTACATGAGTGGTATCATATGTTAATGCTCATATTTCGTATCTTAAAAAAACTAAATGTTAATATTTTGTACCACTTCTCATTTGGAAAGGTAAAAAATCTACATTAAATGCTCATCTCCTTCAGTAGTAATTAAATCACACTTTGGAAAAAAAACTGTTAATTGGCAGATAATTTTTCTTCATGATTATTTTTTTTTGCCTCATTCATGTTATTTTTGCTGATACTGAGCTTTGATTGTAGTTTTTTCAGTTATTGCTGCCTCTATAATTGAACACTTTATTTGTGATCTTTTGAAATTTTTATTTCCACACACCGTCTTGCTTACTATGAAGAGGTTTGATTCAGATATGCGTAAGTCCTGTAAAATGAAATCTAGTGCCCGAGACCAGCAGATGGTGTAACAGTTATGTTGCTGGACTCCCACATAATCGACTGTGGTCTGAGTCCAGGACTCAGTGGCTTAAAACTTATACAGGGTACATGTGCATGTGTGCCCAAAATCCTGAGAGGAGAATGGAGAAGGGATTGAGATGTGGCCATTCCCCTTGGGGGATGATTTCTCAATTTGTCTCTCTCTCTCTCTTTCTCTCTCTCTCTCTTGTGAGCATATGTATTCTATAGCAAAAATCTCTCTAAAAAAAAAGAAAAGAAGAAAAAGAAATTAGTGCTTTGGTAGTTTCCCCATAGTATTGTCTTTGTAACATGAATTATGAAGTTATATTTAGATTTAGACAAAAAACAAAAATATAATGTTTTGTCTATTTAAAATTTAAGTACTAAGTAGAGAATAGTTGAAATGTAATGCATAATAATATAATCAAACTCATATTTAGTATTTATTAACATTTACTATATTTTTTCTGTATTATTTTAGAACGATCTGCACAGAGCCATTCAGCGTACACAGTCTGCAATGTTTAATCAAGTTTTGATTTTAATATCTACATTATTATGCCTTATCTTCACCTGGTAAGATTGGACATATTAGCATTTTTTATTATGTTTCATTTACTTGTAGCTTCTAAGGAAAACCATATTATAACTGAGCATTCCTATTCCAAAATTTTAAAATTTGAAATACCCAGAAATTTAAAACATTCTGAACACAACATAATAGCACAAGTGGAAAATTCCACAAATGACTTCATGTCATGGGTTGCAGCCAAAATGTTGCAATACAAAAATATTGTTAAAATTGCCTTCAAGCTATGTGTATAAGGTATATATGAAACATAATTGAATTTTGTTTTTAGACTTGGCATTCATAAGATATCTCATTATGTATATGAAGATATTCCAAAATCTGAAAAAAATGTGAAATCTGGTCCCAAGTATTTTGGATAAGGAATATCCAATCTGTGTAAGCTATTTTAATTAGTAGTTGACTAAAAATAAATATATTAAGCAGAAACTGTAGTGGGTTATCTACCTATTGAAGTAAAAGTAAAATCCTTCCTTTGCTCTTGCAAACGAAACAGGAAAGCACATATATCATTTGGTATTGACATTTTACTACAATTCTGACATTTCCCAAGTGCCAAAAACAGCCACATCACAAGAATTTGTACAGTGTGTCATAGTTGTCAAACAATAGTTTTCCCTTCAGACCACTGACACAGAGTGGCTCTCGTCTTTCCACATTCTTCAGTGTAGACACTGTCGGGGAAACTGTCATTGCCCATCAGCCCCGCCTAGCTGTGCGGTGTTCAGTGTGCAGTCAGGCGGAGCGCAAGGGCAGATCTCCAGAGAGTGCCAGGCAAGACCCAGCGCATTGCTTTATTATAAAACAATTACTTCCCCTTTCACAAGGTCAGCCTTTAACAATTATAGAGTGATCCAATGCAAAATGGTGCACTGCACCAGTGAATTTGCAGATCCTTAATGACAGAACAAAAATGTGAAAAAAAAATGCCGTAGAATAATTGTGTTTTTCAAGAGTTTCGGTATTATGTATAATTGTGCTGTGACCTGGATTCTACCCCATTGAGAAAGAGAAACAGCTAATTAGGAAGTCAAAAATGGAAGAATACACACATACCCTGGTACTACTGCACTACATAAAAATGTAGCCATAATGTATGTATGTAAATATAGACACAGAAGTGTGACAGCTACTTTTTGTTAGTACTATATGGTTGATGTCTCTGTTTTCTCCATACTTGTATACTAAAAAAATTTAGGTTTTAATGCTTTTAAATGTAAAATAGCCCTCTAAAATGGACACAATGCCAATTCATCTTTTAGATTGTTTTTGACCTTTCACAAAAAATTTATGACTCATCTAATAAATAACTACACAGATAAGAAACACCAACAATAATACCTTCCCCTCTAAAGTCACTATAAATTCTTACTTTTAGTATAATCACATTTTTTGAGTAATTCAAGAATTTTCTCATCTCAAGGAAAAGTACTTAAAATTAAAAAATTGCATCTATGTATGGCATGCCTATAATAAAATTTCAATTGCTAGAATATTAAAAAACTAAAATTAATGATTTCTGGAATCAGCTAAAGTTAATTTATAGAAAGGATATTGAAATGTTAATACCAACTAAGGGGACAAATTATTTTTACATAATGACAATTAGGAGTACTCCTTTTTTCAGGCATCCTTATCATGATCTCTAGTGAGCTTTCTGTTTACTCTAGTTTTCTGCCTAGTATTTCTTTTGAGGGGGTAACTTTCCTTTTCTGCATGTGCTTGCCAGAGGGAGACAGAGACACAGACCCAGAAAGAGGGAAAATGAGAAATGACCCACAAGGGGGGAATGGCTACACAGCAATCTGTTCTCTACTCCGCTGGGAATTTGGGGCATGCAGGCATATGTGCCCTGAATGTTTTTCAAGATGGTAGACCTAGGACTTTAACCCGAGTTGGCTGGGTAGGTTCCAGTGCCATAACCATCACGCCACCTGCTGGCCCGGTAGTTTTTATTTTTATAGGGAGTAAAAAGACACATTTTGCCATTTTCTTATGCAAAGGATGCAATAGTTCTAGTGAAAGGGTTTTCATTATCTGTGTGGAATGTCTAGTATGTAATTTATTCTGTTATTTTTAAAAAGAATTATTTATTTAAGTTTATTTATTCATTCATTTATTCCATGTGGGAGTATGTAGCACCTAAACAACCATGCCACCTGCTGGCCCCATATGTAATGTATTAATCATTGAACATATTTCTGTTTTGCTAATTGTTTTACTTGCTATTACAGTTGCTGTTTTTCTTGAAGCGTGTGTTTCTCTCTTAGACAATTGAGTGGTAGTTTTGATAGATGTCATCTGATGTTACAACTGTCACCAGTATGTGGATATGTCTCTTGATATGCAACAGTTATGTACAATGAATTGTAGCTACAGAAAATATTATTTTTATCACATGACAGTAACATGTATAGTAATAATTTGTATCATAATATGTTTTTAAATTATAACATCTAGAATAGAGAAACTAAGATTTGATTTCCTTGTGTATTCTTCTTTAGCATTACAAGCAAAATGTTTTCATAAATCACGATCATTATAGTAAAATAGAATGTCTTGGTTAAATTCACTATCAAAGTACAATTATATACTAAGAAATAAAGTAGCATGTTAGACATAATATAGCTGTTTTAATAAAGAGTTACACCACGCACAATGTAAATTACAAATATACACAAAAGTATAGCAAATTAACACATTATAAAATATGAATATACGTAAAACACAGCAACATAAACAAATGGACATGTGTAGGTAGCCTATCCAGGACCCGTATACAACTTGATACCAGCTTGATACTACAGGAGACAAGGCTTCCTTATACCTAGTTTTCTACCACTCTTAAAACTTAGTTTTTTTTTTTCTTTTTAGAGAGATTTTTGTCATAAGGTACATGCGCTCAATGGAGAGACAAAGAGAGAGACTGAAAGTGAGAAGTCACTCCCCAGGGGTTGGCCATGCCCCAATCCCTTCTCCTCCATTCTCTTGGGATTTTGCGCACGCATGCATATACGCCTGGTATGTGTTTTAAGCCACCAGGTCTGGGACTTGAACCATGGTCAACTACATGTTAGTCCAGTGACCTAACCATTTTGTCTTTTGCTGATCCTAAAACTTGATTTCTATCTTATGGTTCAAGATGATTGCTCTGTTCTTGCCATTATATCCTAATTCTAGGAAAATAAGATGCAGTCCAGAATTTGCAAGCATTATTTAGTCTAGAAGCTTGGTTATATGACCACGTGTGGTGTAAGGAGGCCTACAAAAGGGTCGTGTAGCTGGGTAACAGTATACCTATCTGAATATTGTACTGTCATGGAAGAAAGACGAGCTGGATATGGTAGAACAGTGAGAAGTCTCTGGGGCTGTAGCGGTGAAAATCTGTAGGTATGTCGGTTGTTTGGAGAGCTTGGACAACTTTTTTCCAGGATAATCTTAATCATCCTATAAAGTTGATTTGAAATGAACATTAAATTAGATATGCTTATAAGTTGTCTATCTAGCAAAGGACATGGCATATGGAATGAAACTCTAAAAATTTTAGTTTTTTTTTTTTTTTATTTTCCCCATTTCAACTGCCTGTTTTATGCAAGGTGATTGAATCCTTATGGGAAGCCACAAAAACAAATTTACTCTAGAATATGTAGGTATATTCACCTATTAATAATTCTATAAAGCTGAACCACTGTGCCTAAAAATATATTTAACAGGAAATGTGAGAAAACAGTTTTCTCCACTGTAATGTATTCAGATTGCCCACACTTCCTACATATTTCAAATGCTTGTTTCCTCTAGTTATATCCTAAGTGAAAGATTACGGTACCATCTCTCTCCCTCGGTACATGCACTTTTAGTTTTATGAACACATATCACAGCACGCTCGTGGCTCCAGTCTCACTTTGGTTGGAGTTTCTTTATCTGATCTTAGAATAACATGGCAGGTAAAACCTGGGGGGATGGCGAGTAGGTGAAAGATTTAGGTAGCAGGCTAGAGAGGAGTGACTGCTTTGTAAAGATAAAAGTAAAAAGTATTTTTGGACTATTTAGGAGTATTTCTCCTATGGATAAAGATTCCAACATTTTTGACCCACTTTCTAAATAGTAAGTCATGCATCAAACTAATATTTTTCCTTCCTGACCTATAAAAAAATTCTACTTCAGAAATATATGCATGTATGTATATTTATGTATTTTATTTTATGTGTATTTATTTTTATTTTAAAAATTTTGCTGTAAGTTTTGTGTGCTTGCTGGAGAAAGACAGTGAGGGAGAGTGACAGGGAGGGAAAGTGAAAAATCATCTCCCAGGTGGGATGGCCACGTCACGGTCCCTTCTCCTCTATTCTGCTTTTAGAATTTTGAGCACATACACACAAACATCCAGCATGTTTTTCAAGCTGTTGGGTCCTGGATTCAACTGGGCACTTGGCTGTGTGGGACCCACCATGCCACCTGCTGGCCCTATACAGGGTTTTTTGTTTGTTTGTTTTTAAAAAAACATTGGGTCATAAAATTAGCTATATACTTAATTGTGGTTATATTATTGGTAGTCAGGAAAGTCATGACACATTTTTCTGTGAATATTGTACTGTCATGGAAGAAAGACGAGCTGGATATGGTAGAACAGTGAGAAGTCTCTGGGGCTGTAGCGGTGAAAATCTGTAGGTATGTCGGTTGTTTGGAGAGCTTGGACAACTTTTTTCCAGGATAATCTTAATCATCCTATAAAGTTGATTTGAAATGAACATTAAATTAGATATGCTTATAAGTTGTCTATCTAGCAAAGGACATGGCATATGGAATGAAACTCTAAAAATTTTAGTTTTTTTTTTTTTATTTTCCCCATTTCAACTGCCTGTTTTATGCAAGGTGATTGAATCCTTATGGGAAGCCACAAAAACAAATTTACTCTAGAATATGTAGGTATATTCACCTATTAATAATTCTATAAAGCTGAACCACTGTGCCTAAAAATATATTTAAC